ATAGATAGATAGATAGATAGATAGATAGATAGATAGATAGATAGATAGATAGATAGATATGGGTACATACAAATATAATTGGTGCAGGGAAATATACAATAATACAATAGCAGACTTGGAAGGGACCTTGGAGGTCTTCTAGTTCAACCCCCTGCCTAGGCAGGAAACCGTTAAACCGTTTCAGACAAATGGTTATCCAACATCTTCTTAACGACTTCCAGTGTTGGGGCATTCACAACTTCTGGAGGCAAGCTGTTCCACTGATTAATTGTTCTAACTGTCAGGAAATTTATCCTTGGTTCTAAATTGCTTCTCTCCTTGATTAGTTTCTACCCATTGCTTCTTGTTCTACCCTCAGGTGCTTTGGACATTAGTTTGACTCCCTCTTCTTTGTGGCAACCCCTGAGATATTGGAACACTGCTATCATGTCACTGATATCATGTCTGCTATCATATATGTATTTATATAGCATGTGTATTGTGTATGGATACCCTTTTCCCTTAAAATAAGACCTCCCTGGATAATAAGCCCTCCCTGAAAATACTGCAACACAGCAGCAGCCATGAGGCGACCATGCTCGCTGCCTCCTGCACCTCAAAAGACTTTCCCAAAAATAAGGCCAAGTGCTTATTTCAGGGGTCAAAAGAAAATAAGATCCTGTCTTATTTTGGGGGAAACACAGTAGATATATACTTGCTCTTGACAGCAGGCAACAGAATTTCATTTTTAATGTAGGCCAGTGTGCTCACGGTAAAGCATGACAATAAAAATTACCTTAAATCTTAAAATAATTGCAGGAGAAAATATGGTGATAAAGTCAAGTGAAATAAGAAAAAAAAACATTTATACAGATTTCCCAAGGTGTAAATAAGCTATCTAATGACTCCTTACTCTGACTTAAGTTTTCCTCCAGAGGAACTCTTACCTAAAGAGGCCATGATCCTACATGTCTCCAGCATGACTTCTTCATGCAGGGCTTTCTGGCTGGGATCAAGCAGCAATTGCTCTTCACTGTTGAAATGGATGGCCACCTCCCCAAAAGACATAGGACCCTAAAGAAGGAAAACTCCATGTGAGCAGACTCAGGAAGAATTTGCAAGATCTCCTTTAATCTGCAAATCCTAAATACACAGTATTTATGCTTATTTGGACATTTCCCTGGCTGGGCTCAAGATGTTATGTAATAACACCAATCCCTGCTCTCTCAGGGAAGGGCGGGGGAGTGTTATACAATCCCCCCTTTTCATCTATCTGTAAGTAACTTACACTAAAAGGTGTACTTTGTAACTTACATTAAAAACCCACAACATCACAATCCATAAAGGGCTCCCTTAACCCCGTCAACTCTTTCCTAGACAAAAAGCCGAGAAGAGGCCAATTTGAAATGACTTCTGCGATGCATCCCAAACCAGCACTGATAAAGGTTTTAAAAGCCACGTTAGACTCCGGGGTGTCTTTATTCTTTATCCAATTTGGGTGACCTCCTTAAAACCCAGGGGGGAAAAAACTATTAAAATTTGAAAAGAAGGAATAACAGCATAGATCTTTTATTCGGCAGCCTTCTTGCAAATTAGGTTGGCAACCTCCTTATTGGCCTTCCCAAAATGATCAAGGATGGTACCATCCTTCGCTTGTTTTAAAGTGTGAACTATTATTTTTTAAAGTCCAACCGCGTATTACCAGTAAAGAATTTTACACGTTTCCAAAACAGCCTAGAGCCGTGATGGCAAACCTATGGCACCCGTACCAGACGTGGCACACAGTGCCGTCTGATGGCACTCGAGCCGTCGCCCCAGTTCAACTCTGATGTGTATGCACAGGGCCCTATGTGCATTGCATTTTGGGGGTTCGAGTGCACGCACATGCATTTGTGCGCGGTTTGGGCACTCGGTTCAGGAGAGTGAGACAGACCAATTGTGACTGATCTCTAATTTAAATCCTAACTTCCCCATCCCACGTTGCTCAGGAACAGCAGTGTCATTTGCTGAGACTTCAAATGACCCCAAAGCAGTCTCCAAATGCTCCCCAATATTAGCCCCAGATCTTTTCCTTCCTACCTGTGCTGGAAGTTCAGCTGCTCTTTTAGTTCCACCAGTACAAAGAGAAGAACCAATGAACAACGGTGACTCCATTTTGTTCCCTGGGAAGGGAATAGATGGGATAAAAACAGGAAAGGGATTAACTCCCATTTTTGAGCTTGAAGGCATGACTTAGTATTTATATATACTTTATTTGTCATTGTGCATTTACACATACAACGAAATTCACATAACACCCAGAGACCAGTCGCAACACCCATAACAATCCCCAAAATACCCCCACCCACCCACCCCCAAAAAACTCTGCCCCTGAACCACCTAAACATCCACATAAGAGACCAAATAGTGCTGTCCAATAGCTCACTGATGGTGACCCTTTAGTTCATTGTTGAGTGCAATTATAGCTCTGGGATCAAAACTATTCAGAAGATGTGTGGTCCTAGTTTTAATTGTTCTGTATCTTCTGCCAGAAGGCAACAGTCTAAAAAGATTGTGAGCAGGATGGGAAGAGTCTCTGAGNTATAGACACCTCTTAAAACAGTAAATGATTTATGTGGACTCCATCAGAGTCGTAAAGAGGCGATAGCTGTATTGCTGAATCATCCTTATTGCATCAACTTACAGTTTACAACTTTACATCAAATGGCAGCTATTAAATCCTCATTCCCTGACATCTTATTTTTTTCGCGGCCGCAACGGACAAAGTGAGGCAGAGGGGTGGAGGTAGAAAATTATCAACCTACTGTGTCGTTACAAATATTTGATAATGCAAACAACCTAACTGGAACCTCAGAATATAAAGCTGACTTCACCAAACACCTGGATAGATGCTAATATTACTTTAATTCCGAAAGAAGACTCAGACTTGACACAGATAAAGAACTATAGGCCTATATCATTATTAAATGCTGTTTAATTTTTTTTTTTGCATCAATAAAGATTAAAAAGATTTCTGAATGAATGTATCCACTCAGATCAAAATGGGTTCCTTCCAAAAAGACAAATTAAAATACAATACCAAGAAGAAGAAAAGTAACAGTTCTCAAAAGAAACCAGCATTGCTGCATAAAGAATTCTCTGGCAAATTGAAAGACAAAAAGGACAAGTATAAAAAGTGGAAACATAACTAAGGCAGAATATCAGCAAATAGCCCGAGCCTGTAAAGATGAAGTGCGGAAAGCTAAAATTCACAATGAAGAAAGACTTGCAACAAAAATAAAAAATAACAAAAAGCTTCTTCCAACATGTTAAAAACAAGAAAAAAGTCAAGGAAACAATTAGTCCATTGTTGGAAGAAAGTGGCAAAAAGGTGACAAGCAACAGGGAGAAAGCAGAACTACTTAACTCATTTTTTGCATCTGTCTTTATACAAAGGGTAAAAAGAGCCCAACCTATCATAAACAGCACCACAAAAAATGGATTAGGAACATGTTAAAATAGGGAAGAAAATGGTAAGTGAACACCTGTCTACCCTAGACTAGTTCACATCATCAGGACCGGATGGATTACCCCCCAGGGTTCCGAACGAACTGGCAGACGAGATCTCAGAACCACTGAACTATATGTTTCAGAGATCCTGGAGCACCGGGGAACTGCCAGAGGACCTGAAAAGAGCTGATGTGGTTCCCATCTTCAAAGAAGGGGAAAATATTCAGGAAACTACAGACCTATCAGCCTGACCTCAANCTGAACCTTTGTCCACAATCCACACATTTATAAGGTTTTCTCCCTGTATGGATCCTTTTGTGGCATATCAGGTAACTACTACTGCTGAAGCTCTTCCCACATTCTATGCATTTAAAGGGTTTTTCTGCAGTATGTACCCTTTTATGGGATGTAAGGGAATACTTCCTATTGAACCTTTTCCCACAATCCACACATTTATGGATCTTTTTATTAGAAGTTAAATTAACTCTTCTCCCAATGCTTTTTCCACAGTCCACACCGTTGTAGGGCTTCTCCCTTGCCTGGTTCATTTTATGTAAAGTAGGATTATTACTGCTGGAGCTTTTTCTAGTTTTGTAGTGGTTACTACCATTGGGTGTTGCTTTGAATCTTTTTCTACTTTGAGATTTCGCCGTATTTTCTTTGGAATCACGTTGGGTCAGGAAATGTTCCATTTCCACACATTCAAGAATAGATTTTTCTCTCTGATTGTGCTTCTTTTCATGTTTCTTCCTTTCCCGCTTATTTGTACATGTCTTCTCAGGAATTTTAGTTTTGATTATTTGCAATGGCACTAAATTCGGCTCTTGGTCATTTTCCTTGTTCTGCACTTCGAAGGCTTGCGGGAGAAGAAAAATAAATTAGAATAATCTACAACATCCACTGGTGTCCCTATGCATACATTTATCGACTACTGGGCATCTGTGGAGAAAGGAATGAGGGAAATGACAGCATGGATATTAGTTATTAACTTAAAAGACTTGCATGGCTGCTCATCTAACCCTCACTCTTTAAAAATTTAAAGCAAAAACACGTCTTGACATCAGGACTTGGCACACAAATTGTCTCAACTATGACCTACCCAACTTGCTTTCAATAAGACAATATATGTCATTACAACACAAAGCAAGACAAAATTTGTTGCTGAGTAGGACAACTACAACAGGCAAAAACATCCTCTCCCTAATCATCTTCCCAATAACTCTGCAGTAACGACCATGGCCCATGGATGACCACAAGACTGAATGTCAACCCCTGCTGATCACTACACTGATCTTTTTTTTCTAAATGAAACTGCTACTCAGAAGACCATGAAGGGGGACTGGAATTAATGTCAAAGAAAAAGAGAATAGATTAAATCGTTTTTAACAATTTACGTACAGAGGAACCTTACCTAAAGAGTCCACAATCTTAGATGTTTCCAACATGACTTCTTGATACAGAGCTTTCTGGCTGGGATCAAGCAGCAACCACTCTTCACTGTTGAAACGGATGGCCACCTCTCCAAAGGACACAGGACCCTAAAGAAGGAAGAAACCCCGAAGAAGACTTGATCTCTTTCAATCTACAAATCCTAAAAGCACAAAGTTCTATGGAAATTTTCAGTCATCCGTAGTCATGGTTGTCTTAAAGGTGCTTTTTTCCAGAGGCAACTGGACTTTCTGGTTTTTCTTTGAAAAGGTTTCACTTTCCATCCAAGAAATTTCTCCAACGATTAGGAAGTCCAGTTGGCTCTGGAAAAAAGCATCTTTGGGACTAAAAGCCAAAGTGAAAATTCTTGATTGGACATTTTCCTAGGTGGGTTCAACACTTTATATGATAAAAAGGAAAGAACTCACAGCCTACTGCTCGCATTCAATGAGTGCATGTTTTATCACCTTCACTGCCTCGTCTGACTTTCAATGTCATCAACCTGCCTCAATCAAGTGGCAGAGAGTGCCTTAGACACACCACCTATCAGTGGCCCTAACATTCCATAATGTTTGCAAGAGGTTCTGTGGGATTTCTGTCTGACGTACTAACCAAATGGTCTTAGTGGTTCTTTGAAGGTCAGCCTTGCTCACACTCGTGAACATTTCAATTTAGCGTTTTTATTAGTTTTTTGAAACATTAAATACAAAGGGAAAAAAACCATGGAAAAGTAGGAAGAGAGGAAGGGAAAAAGAGGGGATGACATGGCCAGCAGCTGACATGCCCAGAGAATCTCCTCTCCCCGGACTGTTGTTTTTCGAACTTAACAACAGAAGGAGCAGGCTTTCTTTTCTCTGCTTGACTTTCCGAGGTTAAGGAAAGTCCCAGAATCACCTCTCAAGATCTCCGATAACAGCAACAGCCCACAAGTAGTTTTAGCAGCCGAGCATCCAAGATAAGTGGTGAACTGAAGCTGGGAGGTGGGGTGGAAACTATGGCGTTGTTGGACAAAAGATCTGTTTTGGCATTTATTTTTGAAACAGACAATAAGCTGTTTCTTAAACAGTTTATGATACTGTTACCTTTAGAAGCTATACAGGCTCTCTTTAGTTACAGCTTACCACTTGTTTTTGAAGTTTTGGACGCTGTTTTTGACACTTCTTTATTATAAAACCACAGGGAGAGGAATGCTAGAAGCAGCCAAAATAAGGAAGAATGGAATATTCTTTTGTTTGAAATATAAGGATAACATCTGTGGTTTTAATCTACTACCTTTTTTCCCTGAAAATAGAACTGAACTTATAATTTTTTGGTCGCCAAAATAAGCACCAGGGCTTATCTGAACTGGGCCCAAAACATGTCAAGAGTTTTGACAGCATGACTATTATAATGAGATAAACCCAGAAGCAAAACGCAGCACAAAGCACACAGAGCCTTTAGACAATTAATAGTGATTTATATACAAATATATAAAGACATATACTGTGGGGATAATTGCTTTTCTCAGTGGCTGGCAAACCACGCTGAGGATGTAACGTCAGCACAATGATCCTTCACCTGATCCTTCCTTAATAAGTGTGGGCATGTAGGCACATTCCATCGCTTGCAACAACAAACCATGAG